ATTCATGCATTCTTAGTGACTTGATGAACATGCTTAAACAAATCCAAGCTGGATTTATCAGGCAGAAAAAATGAACTGCTGGCACAGACCTCATGATATCTAGAATTAACCATGTATTTCCATATATTATCACCCTCATCACATAGCGCACAAAGAACAAGATGGAACGAAAGCATCAGAGAAACTCTACAACAGCACGGATGTGTCTGTGGTCAATGCGTCCAGATGAGCCAGAAGAGAAACCTTATATCTCCCTCGACACTTGAAGCAGTACAGGAGGAAGTGAAGAAGAGGTAGAAGATCATCCAGAGCAGTATGTTGTACCACATCGCTAGTCAGTCAGTGGCGCATTCGGGAAAAAAATGGCAAAGGTGTACAGAACGGAATAGCCATTAGTGTATATTTGGTGAATGTATCAGTCACAGGGGTGCACTGGAGGCCACCTTGAGGCTGAAATAGGCCACAATATTTTTTTTTACAAATCTGAGATAAGGGGTCTATCAAAAGGTGGTCTGTCAATGAGGTTCTGTAGCTTTATGTTCGATTGTGTTGATTACCATTAAAATGTAAAAACACTGCCCCTTAACTAGTATTTCCTAGAAGGCGACTTATTAGGGATGTTTCCTTAAAAGCATGAAGCATGGAACCAGCAGTCTGAATACAAGTAAGCCAGATCTGTAAACTGGATATACACCCAAAACTCAAGTTCTGGATCTTAACCAAGGTAGAGAAGTGGGAAAACAACCTGAACTTTCTGCCTGAGTTTACAGCCAGTGAACGCTGAGAGAAGAAGAATGTAAAAAGGATCCTGCGGTTTTTATTATAGTCTTGTGAAATTATGTTGGCACTTATTATTGTAATGTCACCTAAATGAGACCTAGAGGTGTAGCACACCAGCCCTACAGTAGAGCATCTTAACTGCACAGTACCAGTATTTACCAATATTTGACTCAGCTCTACAGTTTACTGTAGATACCAAAACTTAAGAATGGAGGTGGAGGCGGTCACTGCAGCTTTCCGCTGCTTAGAAAACACCACACACATCGTGATTGTAACTGATTCAGAAGGTATCCTGAGGAGGGTCCGGACAAGTATGCTTCGTGCAGAGTGGCATGGTTCACTGCGGAGAACACAGGTGAATATTAACTTCCGGAGTTTTTCACCAGGGTATGCCAGTGTGTTGGGAGATGCACAGGCGGACAGACTGGCTGTGTCTGCACAACTTGGTGGAATACTAATGCATGATAAGGCAGACGTGGTTAGTGCCTTGTGGGAGAGCGTGTACAGTTCGGAGGAGCAGATGGATAACCTCAGTCTGGTGAGATTGATGCAGCGTGAGGTTACGAAGGGTTCTGGCAGACGCTCGAGGCTCAGATATAAAGGCAAGACGAACGTTAAATCAGAATGCTACTGGCACCATTACTATCGAAACTCTGCCCTAGTTGCTGAAGATGGGGACAGGGCGCATATGGAAATGCCCCGAGTGCTAGGATGTCGGTTCTTGAATCAGCTGAACTATGCAGTTGACTTTGAATACACAAAAACTGATCTGAAGCAGACACAGCTTAGAGATTATTTCACAACAGTAAGTGTTGGGAAACACAGAAGTGTTGGGAAACACAGAAGTGTTGGGAAACACAGAAGTGTTGGGAAACACAGAAGTGTTGGGAAACACAGAAGTGTTGGGAAACACAGAAGTGTTGGGAAACACAGAAGTGTTGGGAAACACAGAAGTGTTGGGAAACACAGAAGTGTTGGGAAACACAGAAGTGTTGGAAAACACAGAAGTGTTGGGAAACACAGAAGTGTTGGGAAACACAGAAGTGTTGGGAAACACAGAAGTGTTGGGAAACACAGAAGTGTTGGGAAACACAGAAGTGTTGGGAAACACAGAAGTGTTGGGAAACACAGAAGTGTTGGGAAACACAGAAGTGTTGGGAAACACAGAAGTGTTGGGAAACACAGAAGTGTTGGGAAACACAGAAGTGTTGGGAAACACAGAAGTGTTGGGAAACACAGAAGTTTTGGCTAAAAATAAGTAAAAAGTAAGTATAGTCAAGTACCATTTTCCACGCATTATGTAATAAAATCATTTTTTATTAACATTATGAAGTAAAAACATTAATAAATGAAAACAATATGAAGTAAAGACATTTTAAAATAAAGACAATATGAAGTAAAGACATTATTAAATACAGACATTATGAAGTAAAGGCCTTTATAAATAAAGACACTATGAAGTATAGACATTTATCAATAAAGAAATTATAAAGTAAAGACATTTATAAATAAAGACACTATGGAGTAAACACATTTATAAATAAAGATATTTTGAAGTAAACACATTTATAAATAAAGACATGGAGTAAACACATTTATAAATAAAGATATTACGTAGTGAAGACATATTTATATGAAGACATTGTGAAGTAAAGATATTTTTAAACACAGACATTTTGAGGTAAAGACAATTATAAATAATTAATAAACAAATTATGCATACATTGTATTTTGTTGTTGTCAGGCCCTGGAGGAGACCGGTGTTATTGGAGGTGGGGACATGACCCCTGAGGCTGCGCTGTCCAAGCTCTGCTATATCCTGGGCAAGGAGGAGTGGTCACTTCCGTGCAAACGCCAGGTCAGTTGAGAGAAAACTGCTTGCAGTGTGTTAGTTTATCTGGGATAAGTCCCCTGTGTATGTGCATAATGCCTGTAATATGTTAGTTTATCTGGGATAAGTCCCCTGTGTATGTGCATAATGCCGTAATATGTTAGTTTATCTGGGATAAGTCCCCTGTGTATGTGCATAATGCCTGTAATATGTTAGTTTATCTGGGATAAGTCCGTTGTGTATGTGCATAATGCCTGTAATATGTTAGTTTATCTGGGATAAGTCCCCTGTGTATGTGCATAATGCCTGTAATATGTTAGTTTATCTGGGATAAGTCCCCTGTGTATGTGCATAATGCCTGTAATATGTTAATCTATCTAGGATAAGTCCCCTGTGTATGTGCATAATGCCTGTAATATGTTAATTTATCTGGGATAAGTCCGTTGTGTATGTGCATAATGCCTGTAATATGTTAGTTTATCTGGGATAAGTCCCCTGTGTATGTGCATAATGCCTGTAATATGTTAATTTATCTGGGATAAGGTCTCTGTTTATACGCATAATGCTTGTAATCGGTTAGTTAATCTAGGATAAGCTCTCTGTTTATACGCATAATGCTTGTAGTATGTTAGTTAATCTAGGATATGTTATCTGTGTATCTGTATACACATGGACTCTTACTAAAACTAATGAATACAAAATCATAACAAAGATGAGATGTCTCCGAAAAGCTATCGGGGTAGCAAGAAAAAATAAAATTAACATGAAGTTAATAATGAGAAAACTGGACTTGAAACCAGACATCATTCTATTAAAGAGCAATCACTGAGACGGTTGAGTCATCTGATGAGATTGTTCTTATACCAGTTGCCACAGAGAGCCATGCTGAAGAAATACAGTGAACACAGAGCAAGGAGAAGACTATGCCAAAATACGAACAAGGGCAACAAGAACAGCTTAAAGGAAATGAAGGCCAACTTATACAACGCATTGAAAAGAGCTCACCAAAGATCCTAATATTTTCTCCCAAAGCTTTGGTGAAGTAGATGGAGGAAGAGAAGAAGACGAAGAAGCTTGCAGTATCTAAGTTGATCTGGGATTTTCATCTGGAATTTGTCAACTTGAACTTGAACTTTATTTGGGATAAGCTACTTGTGAGTGTGCAGATTCCGAGGGACACACGTGTGGTTTGCATCTGTCTGAGTTTTTTAAATGTTTACTTTTTATTTTTAATCTAATGTTTTAGTTCTCTCCTTCAGATTTGAGTCTGTAAGAATTATCTCAGTGATGAGAATCAAATAGGTACCTGACCGGGAAACCCTGTTCAGCCGAATAGCACAGTTATAAAGTGGCCCTATGGGTTGCCTTGGGCTCAAGAAGAAAAACTGACCAACCACAAAACGGTTACAAAGTAACCTGCAGTCCAGAGTGGCTGGGTCTGATGATTACATTTGTCTCAGAGAATTTTGGTACAGAGAATTTTGGTATAGAGAATTTTGGTACAGAGAATTTTGGTATAGAGAATTTTGGTACAGAGAATTTTGGTATAGAGAATTTTGGTACAGAGAATTTTGGTATCGAGAATTTAGGTATAGAGAATTTTGGAATAGAGAATTTTGGTATAGAGAATTTTGGTACAGAGAATTTTGGTATCGAGAATTTTGGTATAGAGAATTTTGGTATAGAGAATTTTGGTATAAAGAATTTTGGTACAGAGAATTTTGGTATAGAGAATTTTGTTACAGAGAATTTTGGTATAGAGAATTTTGGTACAAAGAATTTTGGTATCGAGAATTTAGGTATAGAGAATTTTTGTATAGAGAATTTTGGTATAGAGAATTTTGGTACAGAGAATTTTGGTATCGAGAATTTTGGTATAAGGGATTTTGGTATAGAGAATTTTGGTATAGAGAATTTTGGTACAGAGAATTTTGGTATAGAGAATTTTGTTACAGAGAATTTTGGTATAGAGAATTTTGGTATAGAGAATTGTGGTATAGAGAATTTTGGTACAGAGAATTTTGGTATAGAGAATTTTGGTATAGAGAATTTGGTATAGAGAATTTTGGTACAGAGAATTTTGGTATAGAGAATTTTGGTATAGAGAATTTTGGTACAGAGAATTTTGTTATAGAGAACTTAGGTACAGAGAATTTAGGTACAGAGAATTTTGGTATAGAGAATTTTGTTACAGAGAATTTTGGTATAGAGAATTTTGGTACAGCGAATTTTGGTATAGCGAATTTTGGTATAGAGAATTAGGGTATAGAGAATTTTGGTACAGAGAATTTTGGTATAGAGAATTTTGGTACAGAGAATTTTGGTATCGAGAATTTTGGTATAGAGAATTTTGGTATAGAGAATTTTGGTACAGAGAATTTTGGTATAGAGAATTTTGGTACAGAGAATTTTGGTATCGAGAATTTTGGTATAGAGAATTTTGGTATAGAGAATTTTGGTATAGAGAATTTTGGAATAGAGAATTTTGGTACAGAGAATTTTGGTATAGAGAATTTTGGTATAGAGAATTTTGGTACAGAGAATTTTGGTATCGAGAATTTTGGTATAGAGAATTTTGGTATAGAGAATTTTGGTACAGAGAATTTTGGTATAGAGAATTTTGGTACAGAGAATTTTGGTATCGAGAATTTTGGTATAGAGAATTTTGGTATAGAGAATTTTGGTATAGAGAATTTTGGAATAGAGAATTTTGGTACAGAGAATTTTGGTATAGAGAATTTTGGTATAGAGAATTTTGGAATAGAGACATTTTGTCCAAACTTATTACCAAAAAAAAAAAAAAAAAAAAAAAGGAAAGACCTCTTTCCACGCCTTTAGGAGTATCGGGCATATGGGAAGAGCGCCCATATTTTTACTGACCATCAGCACTCCGTGGGTAATGTGGTCAGCATTACGCCGGCTGTCTTTACTTTCCCAGGACAGCCTATACTGGTACCCATTTTAGGCTGGATCGACCTGCGACGCCCCATACCATGATAAAAATCCACGCAGCCAGCAGTGAGTTTCGATCGCGATACGCTGGATTACGAGTCGGACTCGCAACGCCTAAGCCACAGACGCCGCTGTTCAGTCATTGGAGAGGGGGACAAATTAGAATTGTTGAACTGAAATGAACGAACGAACTAACGAACTTTATTTTCAAAGGGTTACAAATTAGGCACGTAGGCCTGTCTTTCATTCGGCCCTTCCAAACTTCCATCTTTCACACAGCAGTTGTATTTTATCAATGAAGCATGTTATATTCATGTAATAATATGCATATTATGGATATGAAGTCAAAAACAAAAGTATGGGTGGTAAAATATGTGCGCACGCTCGCACGCGAACACACACACCCACACACACACACACAAACCCAATCACTCACTTACACACTTACACATAGGCACCCAGTACACACATACATACACACATAATAGATACATACATACATACACACACATACACATACACACACACATACATACATACATACATACATACATACATACATACATACATACAGACAGACAGACAGACAGACAGACAGACAGACAGACAGACAGACAGACAGACAGACAGACAGACAGACAGACAGACAGACAGACAGACAGACAGACAGACAGACAGACAGACAGACAGACAGACAGACAGACAGACAGACAGACAGACAGACAGACAGACAGACAGACAGACAGACAGACAGACAGACAGACAGACAGACAGACAGACAGACAGACAGACAGACAGACAGACAGACAGACAGACAGACAGACAGACAGACAGACAGACAGACAGACAGACAGACAGACAGACAGACAGACAGACAGACAGACAGACAGACAGACAGACAGACAGACAGACAGACAGACAGACAGACAGACAGACAGACAGACAGACAGACAGACAGACAGACAGACATACCTACCTACCTACCTACCTACCTACCTACCTGCCTGCCTGCCTGCCTGCCTGCCTGCCTGTCTGTACATATGTACAGTAACATACTACAGTAAGATCCTCAGAATACCATGGACCAAGAAGAGGAAAAACACGAACATCGTACATCGTATATGCAAGCAGTTGAAGTTGCACTTTGGAGAAGACAAAAAAAGAATAGACCCACTGCCTTCCCGACAAGCATGGTGTAAAAGACGAATAATTAGCGATTGTTTCCTCCGAAGTCAGAGTGTTAGCCTGACCCTGTGATTTCAGCAGCACGGCACGTCGACTGGAGCCGGTGGTGGTTGATCCAGCCCAAAAATGCTTGTAGGTCGTATCTTGCAAAAGGGGGCTGGTGTGAAGTTAACCACATCACCCACTGAGGGCCACATAACCCACTGAAGACCACATCACCCACTAAGGATCACATCAGCTACTGAGGACCACGTCACACACTGAGGATCACATCAGCCACTGAGGGCCACATCACCCACTGAGGACCACATCAGCCACTGAGGACCACATCACCCACTGAGGGCCACATCAGCCACTGAGGACCACATCAGCCACTGAGGACCACATCAGCCACTGAGGACCACATCAGAAGCTAACTGAGAACTTACGCGGAGAAATTACGACAGTGGTATAGACTGGTACAATGGGAAGTGTCCAGTTGATGTGACCAACACTACACTCAGGGAGAGACAAGACAGACACATATTGAAATGTTGCTGTGCCATCAGTATTAGAACTTTTTGACTGGCGAAGTATGAGCAGTGTTGCCACTTTGGATGTTTTTCATATAGATCTAGAGGTTTTTCCTTGCATCTAGATTGTGTTTTTTACGCATAGATGTAGATGTAATTCTAAAGGTTTTTTTTTTTCCATTTGGAGTTAGAAATTTTATAGATTTAAAAAAAAATGTTCGGTGGCAATTTAATCATCAGTTCTCGTTATGCCAAGTGGCACATGAGGCTTCAGAGAGGACTTTCCATGTTTTCCCGTCCTGTGCAATCTTCAGTGCAGTTTCCCATGTCAAAGATGCCGCACTGAGGTCACTTTCCATCGTTCGTCTCCATGTTGTTTTTGGGCACCCCTGTTTTCTCTTTCCCTCTGGTGTCCAAGTGAGAGCTGTTTTGGTGGATAAATCAGGATTCATTCTCATAACGTGGCCAAGTCATTTCCATCTTTTCTTGGTTATCATACTGTCTAAAGTTTCTTGGTTTGTGACTTAAAGTAGTTTAGTGTTTGAGATTGTATCTGGCCAGAAAAGTTTGATAATTCTACGTAGACATGTGTGGTGAAAGGTGGACAGCTTGTGTGTATCCTTTTTGGTCATTCTCCAGCATTCCGCTCCATAAAGAAGAACTGGCAAAATGATGCTCTTGTGGAGTCGCAGTTTCGTTCCTCTGCAGTAATTGTTGGATTTCCAGATTTGCCTCAACCTTCCAAAAGCAGCTCTAGCTTTGTTTAGACGTGACTGTATGTCCTCTTCGGTCCCTTCAGGCAGGGACACCACACTGCCAAGATATGTAAAATGTTCTACATTTTCAAGAGTTTGGTTACTTATGGTCACTGGTTGTTGGTTTGTACTGTTTGTCATGATCTTAGTTTTCTTTGTATTTATTCTCAGTCCCACCATTTCTGCTGTGCTGTGTAGTCTGTTATTTTTTTTTTCTTGTATATGTTCATGTTTATGTGATAGGAGTGCTATATAATCTGCAAAATCAAGGTCCTCAAGCATGGTGAATGGAGTCCATCGTATGCCTCTTAATATCATGTCTACTGTGTTCTTTAGTATCCAATCAATCACAAGGTGGAAGAGGAGAGATGACATAACACATCCCTGTCATACACCTGTCTTTACTGGGAAAGATGTATTGTAATTTTTTTATACTGCAGGAAAAGTCTTTATAGAAGAGAGCAATTATGTTGACTATTTTTTTCTGGAATTCCATAATGTCGTAAAATTTTCCACAGACCATCTCTATGGACGCTGTCAAAAGTTTTCTCAAAGTCCACGAAATTTATGTATATACTTCTCTGCCATTCATTGCATTGTTTTAAAATGTTACGTATGGCGAAGATGTGTTCAGTTGTTTCTCTCCCCTTTCTGAATCCTGCTTGTTCTACTCGTAGGCAATTTTCTACTCCTTTTTCAAGCCGTTTTATGAGGATTTTACAAAATATTTTGCTTGGTACTGAGAGTAGAGTAATTCCCCTCCAATTATTGTTAAGTCTCCTTTTTTGGGGATTGGGACTATTGTTCCTTCAGTCCAGTCATCAGGCAACACTTCTTTTTCCCAAATATCCTTGAACAATGGTTCTAGAATGCTAGCAGTTGTGTTGGGATCTACTTTGAGAAGTTTTGCTGGCAGTTCGTCTTTGCCTGGTGCCTTGTTGTTCTTTAAAGTGTGGATAGCTTTTCAATTTAATAATTACTGTAAAAAATATTTATTACAATTTTTTTTTTAACTTTATCCTCACTGTCTTGTGAATTATACCTGTGATGCAGACTTTATGTTTCTTTTTCATGTTTTTTTTTTTTTTTTAAATTATAATTGCTTACCTTCATTTGTGTCTTCCACTTTGAAAAAGTCTTTCAACATGCCAAAAATAAAGCAGCAGTATGAGCAAACATTTCGGAAAGAGTGGATGAATGATGATATAATTAAGGACTGGGTGTTGGTGGTTTCTGGGGATACGACGTAAGTCTCGTAAGTAGTGCAGGTGTGAAATTTAAGCGAAAATACAAGAGTTAAAGAGTAATGCAGAGGCTAAAAAGAATATAAAAAATGGAGTTCCATTTACAGATATTACACCGCTGGCATCTGTATTCAGAACTACACCAACTAATGAATCATCAAAAGTTGAACGATCTGTCTCAATGTTTTTAAGTTGTATTTGTGCAATTTCGAACTGTGACCATTTGATTGTTTTGTTTAAAAACACTACTTCTGACAGAAAACATATTGATGACGTAAAAATGCATCGCAACAAGTGTACACATATTATAAGAAGTACTTTATTTTCTCACTTCGAAAAAGATTTCATCTGTGATATTTCTACAAATAAATACATTTTATTTTTAAACGAATCTAATGACATTTCTGTACTGAAAGTGCTTGGTGTGTGTATTACATATCTTTGTCTAGTTCAATTGAAAAAGTGTGATGCAGAAAGTATAGTTCTTGAACTTTTTGATCAGCAAACAATTGGACTTGAAGAATTTGGCTACAATTGGCATCGATAATGTCTACGTGATGATTGGTATCAACAATGGCGTTTGTGACTGACTGACTGACTGACTGACTGATTTTCTACCCCACTAGGACATCACACAAGCGATAAACACTCGATGACACAAAGTGCCACCATGCGGATGAGGATCGCCGTGGAGAGGTCCCAGAAACCGCGTTCAGACATTTGGCCATAATTATGGCCTGCCTATATTGCGGCCCCTGGCAAAAGCCATGGTGGGGCTTCAAATAACAAAAAATTTCATCCTAAAAAGGACGAAAGTGGATGATAATAATGGCGTTTGTGCCAAACTGATGGGAGATATTCTATCTTTAATTGTTATAACGCCCGTGTGTCACCGGGGCCCTCACGGAAAGCAAGAATAGTGACACTGTACCCTACCAGGCATGTCGTAAGAGGCGACTAAGGGTAGGGTTGGGCTTAGGGTTGGCTACCTCATCCTGTACAAACAATAGCCACACAAATCAACCAACCATGGATAAGTCAAAAAGAGAAGAAAGTTAAACCCAGCCAACCAAGATGAGGGAAGGCTCTTCAAATAGAAGAAGTATGACACGGTGTGGAGAAAGCCGTAAGGAGTCCGGATCGTTAACGTACCTCCTCTCAGCTAGGAAAACCTCCAGAATTGGCACCTG